GTTACATTTTTAAAAACTTTTATATGTAACATGTGTTTGATTTTTGTGTAATATTTTTTTGGTTGATCTACTTATATGAGAAATGATCTACATTCATCCTACCCTTAATAATTATACTACATACTAGTGTTATATACTATTAATACATTTTAGTATAATTATAATTATTATTACAAATATTTAATAAAATTGTCTAATCAAAAAATATAATATAATTAGTATTAGCTTAACTACTAAACCAAACCAATTTAACCAATCTAATTAAAAAATTTGTACTAGTCAAATTGGTCAAATAGTATATTTAAATATAATTTATTATGTAATATATATATATATATAATAAATTTAAACAATTTAACCAGTAAATTTTTGGTCAATCACTAATGTGCTTAACACTAAATACAATATTTCCAGAAATAAAAATATAAAATCAAATAAACATTTTTTTTGTAAAATTATATATTTTTATTTTTGGTAATAAATAAAAAAATTTAATCAAATCAGAGACATATAATACATATCCTACCATGTTCTTTATTATAATTCTACTAGCATTTCATGTTGGCAAAAACCTTAATAAAAAAATTTTGACTTTAAATTCGATACATGTTTCTTATTTTAAAAAGTCTAAAAAGTTGTATTTCAATAGTTAAATTCAACATACATACCAAGTTTTAAAGATATCATTGTCCAAAGGTTAATAAAATTGAATAAACGTACTTGAATTGTGATGGCGGCAAGAAAGTTCCTAATATAAAATATACCAATACTATACCAATACACAAAATCTAAATAATTATAAATCAGATATTAAAAATGCGTTCTTGTATTCAATGGTTAAGGTTATTATAAAGATCAAAAAAGGAAATTCATTCAAATGTCACGAATTGTTAAAAATTTGCCTGAAAAAAATCAACATACGTACCTAGCTCATTTCTAAAGTCAAATTATCGTGTAGCTATGAGACTTAATTCTCCAACATAACGTAATGTTAGAAGCGCTATAAAAAAAGGTTAAGCGACTAAAGGATCGATCATAATTTGATTAATCAAACATTCGAACATTTTATAGATATGATCGATCAAGAAAACTTTCACCAATCAGCATCTCTATGTGTGATGAATAGAATCACGCGGACCAATCAGATCTAAGGTTTTGCGAACCAATACCACAATAATACCTTGATATCTTACCGGTAAGGTCAAATTCACGATTCGGATTTCCATTGTCGACAATACAACGGTCACGCACTGTTCGAAATTTTCAGCAGCACATTTAGCATTTAGCCCAAACAAACACCAAGTCACCAATCGAAATGGAGAGTCAGTAGAAAAGAAGAAATATTTCCAAGCCAAAGTTGTTATTTCGATAAGGTATAATAGGTACTTCTTTCGGGATAAGTGAACCTTAAACGAGTAGTGAAAGCCTTTCGTTTCCATAAATAATATGCCCTTTTTCAGTTTTACATGTTTAAAGAATTCTCTAATATATCGGCCGATAATAAAAAAAAAAAAAAAAAAAAAGATAAACGTTAGTAAAGATAGCCATATATTATACTGCTAACTACGCTTAATATTTGGTGCACCATAAAGGACTATTACTAAGATTATTGCCAACTCAGTGTTCACCCGTCACTATGCAGAAGAGCGGTACTGCAAACAAAGAGTCGGGGTAATAAAGCCGAAGTTGTTACTTCGTAAGAATAAAATCCAACAAGCACGACACTTTCTTCGGGACAAGTGGACCTTAACCTGCATAATACTGACCTTTTCTGTTTTACGTGTACAAAGAATTCTCTAATATTTGTAACTCGTCCAAAATATTTGAAATGGTTGCAGTATTGACTAAGTATTAAATGAAAAAAAAAAAGGTATAACATGAGTATTTTTTTTTTTTTCTGTGGTTCAAAAGTGCTTGATAACAACAAAAGGGTATACGAGTCACTTGGTGATAGTAATTTTTTCTTTTTACATAAATTGTTCTACCTTGGAAGCGATATAAAACAGCCATAGATAGCGGAGCGATAAAGGTTTTTCTATGTACGCGTTTTCAGTTATAAGCAAAAAGAAAAAAAAATGTTAATTTTTATAGTGTTTACATTATTTTCATCATACATCCCATTTGGAGTGTGAAAACAGGTGGGATCGTCCCATCATTTGTAGATCAGTTACACAAATGAGAAAAAAATTTTTTTCATATCGTTTTACAATACTCTTTTAGGAAGCTCGCATAACTTATCTGCTATCTAAGCAAACTTGAAGTATTCGAACCGCACTACGTATAATTTACATACTGTTGACCACGAAATCAACTAAATTCTATTTGTTAAATGCAAAAATAAAAAATCAAACTAAAAAGTGTATTATTAAGGGTTGCATAGAAATCTTTAATTAGTGAATAATGGTAGATAACTAATTATATAATTATTTTTTTTTTACAAGATATGACGAGAATCAAATATATATATTTACGTATATATTTAAGAAATAATAGTATACTATAGAAATCATATAACATACGATTATGGTATATAGTATATAGTGGAAATTAGTTGATTAGTTAATGAATAAATAACATGTTTGTTCACTGCAACAACTTTCGGAGCATTTATTTGAAGAAAATTACTACGTTTAACCGGGGGAATTTCCTCCCTTAGTATTTTTAGAGTTAGGGTGCAGCTTTAAGATATATAGGAGTTTTTATACAATGTAATATATATTTGAAAAGTTTTGAATTAGTTCTCGCAAGGTTTTCAGGGGTCCTGAGCATTTTTGCTTAAGATACCCGATCCTGTTTATTTAGTACGTTTTTGAGATATAGCACCTCCAAACACCCCCAGGGAAAATCCCCCGGTTAATATTTTTATTATCGTCACTTTTTTATTTATAACTTACGATTAATTCTTGGTTATCACTTCTCGGAGACTTTCGTAAACGATCTGTAGTTTGTGTAACCGAGAACGGACAACATCTGGGAATTGAAAAATTATACTCAAAGATTTCTTAATAATTATCTGTAAATTTCTAAACTCATTTCTGAATTCTATTAACCTAAAGAATTTGATTAATGAAAGTAACCTGAACGTTACCAGGTACTTTCGCTCAAAGCTTATAGAAATTTAGAAGAAAATCCGAAAATTTTTATTGTTACAACCTGCAAGATCTAGTATACAACGGATATTACTACGGAATCATCGGAATTGTTATTTTTAAATAGAAATTTGTAAAAAAAAGAAAGTTTCAAATTTAGAGATTTCCGTTAAAAAAAAATTATTTTTTCAATAATAATATTAAATAATCCTTCATTCGCAAGATGATTCTTTCGCTGTATTAATTTTATTAATCGCTCTTTCATGTAATAATAATTACCCCATTAATTGTCTACGTAATTAAAAAAAAAACCCAATATGCAAATTTTTACAAAAGTAAAGAAAAAAAAACAAACTATTTTCCGATATTTGAATATTTTAATATTTCATTTTTATCCAATAAACTACTTCCAACAATTTTTAAATCATAATAAGTTGGTTCAGGTTCAAATTTGAATCGTTTATCCAAACACCATCGTATATCTGGCATGAGACTTTTAATGTGTGATTCTATATGTTTAGAAAACATTTCCAATATATAAAAACCACTACTAATATAAGGTCTAAATAATCTATCTATTTGTGGGTGAGAATGAATTTGAATAGGAAGAGTTTTTGGAATGTCTTTCATGTTATGAATAGGTAAACGATCATAAAATTTTATATGAAGGACAGTTTGATAATCTTGTCTTGCAAGACATATTGATTCACCTAAAGCCGTAACAAATCCATCTAATTTTATTGCTAAGGATTTTGGATTGTCAACATTTTTTAAATCAATGTCTTTAGAAACAGGAATTTGAAAATAATCTAATTCCATGGTTAATTCTTGTCGAGATACTTGTGTACAACAACATGTTTGCACTGAATCATCATTTGGCCAAATAACTTCTCCGGTTCGATAAAATTCTAAAATGTAATGAAATGCACGGCCATTGCGATCGATAAAGTATTCGTTATTATTTGTTGGATGTAGTAATGAGTGATTTCTTGCCTGAAACATAGTTCCAAGCAATGTATCAGGATATGCAGTCAAAGTTGAGCGATATGTTTCATACTTAAAAAAGGTTTAGATGAATTAAAAGAATTTGATTAGACATTTCAATTCTAAAAATTTTATTTTATTCACTTTTTTGTTCTTACCTTGATTCCTCCAACGTTTAAAATAATACGTTCGTTACGTGATGAAATTTCTTCTATCATTTTTATTTTTTTTTTTATATAGGTTCAATTTTTTTATTTTTTTTTTTATATAGGTTCAATTTTTTTATTTTTTTTTTTTATTAAAAAAAAATGAAAATTAATGAAATACTAAAAAAAAAAAAAAAATCGGTTTTTAAATGGTATTTTCAGAACAAAACCGGCACCGCCTGCATTTTATTTCCGATGCACAATTACATAAATCATTGTTTTCTAGTTGGGGGAGTTTAGATTTATTCACTTTGTTTGATCAGGCAAAGTTATAGATATGGCTAACGATGAACAATAAACTAACAATAAGTTCTGTTGTCAAGCATCCTAATTGGGAAGTATATCAGATAATCACCTATTATTATGCATACAATTACAATTACTTAGAATCTGAATTTGTCCAATCAAAATTTAACTTAATATAAAATCGGAGTTTTCAAATTGTGATTAATCGATTTGCTGAAAAACTCATTGTACGAAATATGAGTTTTAAATTTAAGAAAAAAGATGTCTATTATTTAATTATTATCGAAATGATAACTATTCACTTGTTTAGTTCAGTTCATTCGATTTCCGACTAATTAATATTTTTTGCCTTCAGTCTATTGAGTGAGGTGCTTGAGAACACCCTAAAACAATTTTGAAATTAGATAAATTCAGGCATCAATTCTTAAAATTTACCGATGAGTTAATCGAACCTTCGCTCAAATGACTTTTACAGTAAATCCTGGGGCATCTGATAAAAAATTAGCCGAATGATTTTCGGCCGATTCGGTTAAGTTTGCATAGTACGAATTCAATAAACTGATATATATATGTAATTTAAGATCAGGTGACTTATATAAATAGAAATGATAATTTCGCTTATCACTTAAGTGTTAGCAGATCTAAATTGGGTTCTCAAACACTAAAGATATGGATGTATTTCGTCATTTTTAAACTACATTTTAAACCAGTCGATCATATCTAACTTTTTTAAGATTAACTATTCGTGTAATATGTTAATTATAAAAGTATCTGGTGCCTTTTTTATATTTCTTGTCAAAGATTTATTGGTTGACAGGACAGTCTTTTTCATAAATTTTCGTACAAATCAAACATATCGGGCATATTTACAGTTTTATATCATATAAATACTAGTTAATATTTACAACGGAATATATCAGATTCGAATGCTCTAACATAAATTTATTTTTTTTAATAAAAATTTTATAATACCGGGTGATATCATTCCGGATGAAATTAAATCATGTGAGGGACCAACATGAGGTTGGTCCAACGTGAGGTCAATTAGTGTTTTTTATGATTATTAATCACTGGCGGACTTTAAATACTAATTGACCTTACGTTGGAACCACCTCATGTTAGTCCCTCACAAATAATTTTAAATAAAATCCACGAAATAAGTGCTAGAAAAATGTATTATTTATTGTTAACAGAAAGGTTGCCTTTCGATAATTTGCACAACTATTAAAAATTAATTCAAGCCTATACTCGATAACGTTTCGTTTATGATATCCAACAATTAAGAAAGTTAAATTCATGTATTCGTCATGATAACATTTCATGCATGCTATTATACCTAAAACTTTCGGTAACAAAATAAATAAATGCTTTATTAGCATAGTTTCGACTAGTATCACGATTAGTTGACCAAAATCGATTAGTTGACCAAAATCGATTAATTGACTAATCGATTATTTGTCTAATAATAGATTAGTTGCCAACTCGATTAAATACTATTCATAAAAATAACCGAACCAGAATACTCCATCCGGATCGTTCATATCTGCTTTTATCTGTATAATGAAAAACTTAACCAATGCTAATTACCCGATTATTTGTACTCTACCGTTGTGAATTGTAATTAAGCATGCTACATACTCGACCTTACATAACAGGGTACCACTTATCTGAATTATGAAAACTTCGAAATTTAAAAAGCTGTACTGTGTTTGAGATTCTTCGTGTCATACTACAGATAGGAACCCGAAGATTTTAACTATGAACAAGCAAAACCTAATTAAAGCATTCATTGCTCTAGTAGCGTTTGTTCGACACCAATCTTGAAAAGCATATCGTGAAACTTGACTGGTTACTGTGCTTTAGAGATCGATTATATCTTGGAATGTTATTAAACTTTGAGCCCAACACCCTTTTCCATTTACATATTAATTATTTTTTAAAGCTTCGTTATTAATAGAGCGAAACCTACAGAATATCGTTACTTAATGTATAACGCTGTCCGGTTAAGAGCGAATGAAAATTTTCTCAAAAATTTCTTAGTAAATTTTCAAAATTGTGATCGGACACTATACAGTATGTGGACATTGTGACCAATGTTTAAAATTCAAAACAAAAATGACTTACTCAATTGTAAGTAAAAAAAATTTTTCACTTGCACAGTTGCAAATAAATTTTTTTTGCTACACAAATATAGTCTTTGCAAAAAAGTATATAAAATTTACTTGCACATTTGGGATGTTCTATAGAATAGGTGGGCAAACTCCGCTAAATATCTATTAATGATTATTAATCATTAGCGGAGTTTATTTTTCATATTGCCCACCTATTCTATAGAACATCCCACAGTTGTATAAATTTTTTACAAAATACAAAAAATCTTTTGCATATATGCATCTAGTGCAAGCCAATTTTAAACACTGCATGTAACATACCTAACTAATGAAAATAATAATGTTAGCAATGCAATGACCTATTTCTTATTTAGTAATAAAGACAAACATACCTAATTTTCCTCCACATCTAGTAGACCTTTATTACTGACAACGTGGGGTGCCTGACTCTGATGTAGAGGTGCAGGCGAATTGCCGTAACATAATAAAGTTACGGCAAAAATGCCGTAACTCATTATAATTATTACATATTATAGAGGTAGTTACGGCATCATTGGGACGATTCGCCTGCATCACTAATCTGATGCTTTGGACGATTTACCAAGGGGGCCGGAGCAGTAATTTTTCAGCTTCAGCTTATTTTGTCAGAGAAAGACAATACGCAGTTAAAGATTTTTTTTTTCGTCGTGTGAAACTTCAGCTGTTGGTTACTTTACACATAATAGCTATATATTATTAGCTGCTGCTACACACATATCCAATAACTATTATATGTTGTTCGAATAAGGAATCCGTAAGGTGGATGGTATAGATAGTAATGAAGCAACCAAAGCTTTGCGAAATTGAGAAAAATCTTGCTGAACTTGAAAAGGCGATGTTGGTTCGATATCATTATTTTTATATATGTTGTGGCCCAAATCTAAATTTGCCCCAATTGTCAATTGGGACGACCCAGATGTCAATTTACTAAAATTTAGCTAAACGCCCTACCTAATAATTTTGGTCAATTGACATTTGGGACAAATTGATATCTGGGGGCACAACATATATGGGCAAAAGAAGGGGGATGGGCCAAAAATATTTTTTTAAAAAAAATTCTATATCTGGAAGAATTAGATTGATTAGAATAGAATTATTATATGGCCCTCCTTTTGCTGTGGGAGGTCCCATATATTCCTTTTCAATCTATTATTAATAAATAGTCATTAGCTTTTAATTTCTGAATACGTTAACTTGTTTCTAAACTTGATTTAAGGGATAGTCCATAGTTAAAGGGTCAAAATTTAGATATAAGAATTTTTTAGTTTATACTTTTCACTCCAGCACTCATGAGTTCGGTTTGATCAAAACAAACATGAATAATTTTTCACGACTTATAAGAAGATCAAAACGTGATCATTAACCAATCAATTCCATCAAACCATTTTTTATTATTGGCTTTTGCATTACAATATAGTAATTGTCCGAGACTCATGTTTCTTAGGCAAGCTCATGCAATGTCCGGGAGTGCATTTCCAGCCCCGTGAATAATCTAGTATCAAATGTTTTTATAAAATTTTAAATGAGGATAAAAAATAATAAAATTTTAAATGAAGATAAAAAATAATAAAACTTTAAATGAAGAGTAATATAAATAAAAATATTTTCCTTAAATATTAAAAAAAAAATAAAAAAATAAAAAAAAATAAAAATATTTTGGCCAATGCATTGTAATAGTTGTTTTTGAATCTTTATTTAACTCGAGAATATTTAACGTTAACCTTTTATTAACTTAATAAGACCTTTTTTTAAATTTCATTTTGTCATAGTAATTACATGACAAGTAATTGCATACAAAATGTGTTTTATATAAAAACAAAACTTGTATGAAACCAATCTTGATATAATTATAAGTTAGATTAGTTGATAAAATATATAATTTGTTTTATATTAAACGTAAATTTTCTAAATTCTAAACTTTTTAAAAATAATAGAGGAACAAAAATCTAACAGAATTGTAGCCCTAACGAAATGCAACAAATAAGTAAAAGGAATTTTTGTAAAATCATTTGTGACACTTCTATAAACTTGAATGTTTTGCTGTCCAGTCGCCGTAATTAGTAGTATTAGTTGACAAAGACCTAGTGGTTGGACCCGGATAGGCATCACCCGCGGGTGGGTCGGGTATCGGGTTGCAGTTATGTCAACCCGGGTAAGAAGTAACGGGTCTACCTGTAAGACCCTAGCGATCAATTTTTTTTGCGTTGTTTTTTTCCCATTCTTTTTTCGGTTGCTTTTCGGTGGTTTTTTGATGCTTATTTGTTACTTATTTGTGGCTCTTTCGTCGTTCTTTTAGAGTTTTTCTGTCGTTCTTTCAATGGTTTATTCTTTTTAATACTTTTTCGCATTCTTTTTTTTTAGGTTAATGTTTTCTTTCGTTATTTTTTTGGGATTTTTTCATTACTTCTTTGTGGCTCTTTCGTCGTTCTTTTAGTGGTCTCTTCGTCGTTTTGATGATGCTTTCTTCGCATTCTTTTGGTTCTTTTAGGTCAACGTTAGATTAACGTTGAGATCAACGTTGCTTAACTTTTTAGGTAGCGCACCCACAAAAATTGTTTCCCCCTGTAATTTTTACTAAGAATTCAACGTTGTAGTTTGGGGCTGGGTTAGGGTTAGGAAGAGCATTTTTAATTAGGTCACAGAGGTTTTTTTAATAAATAAAAATAAAGAATTTTTTTATTAAAAAAATTGGGTTTAAATAAATATCTTATAATTTCATTTTAACTCAATTAATTATTCAAACTTTTCCATTACCTTATCTCATATAAGGATTACTTCATACAGGGCTGATGATTTTCTGTTTTGACTAAGACCAAATTCTGTTTTCGGTTAAGAAAAATTCTGTAATGTCATGTGCTGTTTTTTTAATATACTCTGTGAAATTCTGTAATGAATAAGTTAATTTCTGCGTAATTCTGTTTGATTCTGTAATTTGATACAATTAAAAATTTTAATAATACAAATATGCAAAACTCCATAACTTCCCAACAAACATGTTTGTAATTTACATTTTCGGGATTTCCCAGTGCCCAATCTGAATTTATAGTCAAATCCTAGAACATTTTGTGATGATAAAGATGATTTCTGTGGTAAGCTGTTTTTAAGGGCTATTTTCTGTGATCACAGTAAATCATTAGCCCTGCTTCATAAGCCTGCCAGGGGTCTAGACACTTTTGCAGTAACGTGATGTGGCATATAGAAAATAACCAATCAGAATTTGTAAATTTTGGTCATCTCGAATCAGTCTGACATCAAAACAAAACATGTGTACAAGAAGAAAAAAAGTGAAAAAAGTGAAAATACTCGAAAACTGGTGTTTAAATCGGCCTTTAAGCACTAACAAAAAGTGTTAAAAATGCAATTTTACATATAAGGCCATACAAATTTAATAAATCGGTTCTCATAACCTGGCTGGGTCAAAATTTCCAAAACTCTAAAAAAAAATTTCAAGTATACTTACTATCCGGGTGAGTTTTTTAAAAAAAATCTAAAAAAATTTTATATGTTTTTTACATATAAAATTTTTTGAAAATAAAATTAAAAGCCGGGTTGCCGTGTCACTTTTAAAAATTTTATGTTATGAGAACCGATTTATTAAGTTTGTATGGCCTTAAGTTTAAACTTTTAAAAATTCCTTTGCTGTAGTTTATACTGAAGATATTCTGATAAAGCCGAATCTTGGTGTATAGAACTTTAATCCTTTGATGAATATAGTTATTGAGAATCTGTATCATCTATAGTAAAAAAATTTTGTATTTATTCTTAATAAAGGTGTTTTACTTCAACTCTGTTATAAAAAAATGACACGTTGAGTTTGTAATATTAGTGAACACAAAATCAAACAAACAGAACTCTCTCCGACGATCACCTGCACCAAAATTTTGAAGAGAAAAAAAACTAACTTTACAGCACAAAGGCATTAGTTAGTATAACTTTGGGTCATATTAAAAAAGTTAGAGTACAGAAAGATATATTAGTGTACCAAGTTTGAAAAAAAACGAACAAGAAAGTATTTTAGCTTTAGGTTTCTGCATTTTTGCAGATAGTTTTGAAAATTTGGGGAATTGCTCTAAACCCTGTAACGTAGATTACCACACATGACAGTAAACAAAGTACACGTAAACGGGTAAACGAATAAACAAACAAGTATATCACCATTTGCGGATAGATGCAGGGGATACAAAACAACATAAGAAAACAACTTAGTCACGTAAACTACGCCGGCATGCATGTAACAAACAAGAATCAATCACCTTCCTCTGAGATAAAATGTGAGCAAAAAATAAAAATATACAAAAATCTTTTTGCAAAGTCTCTTGAGGAATTTAATGTAGTTAAGGATAAACATAAGAACAAAATCCTAAGAAAGGACAGAGAGAAGCTAAAATGGC